GGTAAAGCACCTTAAGACCCTTCCATCTATGAAGAGTATTTGATTCTACCATATCTGGGTCTTGAGAAGAAGATTTTTGAAATTTCAGTCAATTCAACCCTTTTTGGCCCCACCCATCAATCAGCCCCTTTGGGGTCAGTCAGGGCTGATATGTGCATACCATTAAAATGCTATCCAATACTGATAATGCTAACCCAAATTGAATTACTTCCAATGGAAATTAAACAAATGTTGGTCCAAAATGTGATTTCCCTATATAAACTATAGTATAGTTTACCCCCTCCCCAGGGGGAAACGTGAGACCCCAGGGTCAAGAAATTCACAATTTTGGTAAAGCACCTTAAGACCCTTCCATCTATAAAGAGTATTTAGTTTCTACCATATCTGGGTCTTGAGAAGACCCCGCCCCTTAGGCCCCTGGGGGCCGGGGACCAAATCAGCCACAATTTTTGTTGACGTTTGGCCATGGAAGGTTTCTGCAAAATTTCATTGAAAATGGTTCAGAGGTTTTGGAGAAGAAGTCGAAAATGTAAATTGTTTACGGACGGACGACGGACGACGGACGACGGACAAAAGGCGATCGCAATAGGTCACTTGAAACTTTGTCTTGGTTACCTAAAATCTCATCACAGGACAGCTCACCAAGTCATCCCAGGAAATCTTGCCAAATAATCTCGTGAAATCTTACCAAGTCATCCCATGAAATCTTATAACGTCATCCAAGGAAAGCTCACCAAGTCATCCCAGGAAATGATACTAAGTCATTCCAGGAAATCTTACCTAGTAATCCCAGAAAATCTTACTAAGTCATCCCAGGAAATCTTACCAAGTCATCCCAGAAAATCTCACCAAGTCATCCCAGGAAATCTAACCATGTTATCCCATGAAATCTTACCAATTCATTCCAGGATATCTCACCAAGTCATCCTAGGAAATCATACTAAGAAATCCCAGAAAATCTTACCTAGTAATCACAGAAAATCTTACCAAGTCATCCCAGGAAATCTTACCTAGTAATCCCAGAAAATCATTCCAAGCCATCCCAGAAAATCTTACCAAGTCATCCCAGGAAATCTTACCTAGTAATCCCAAAAAATCATACCAAGTCATCCCAGGAAATCTAACCATGTTATCCTACGAATCCTTACCAACTCATTCCAAGAAATCATACTATTCATCCCAGGAAATCACACTAAGTCATCTTAGGAAATCTTACCTAGTAATCACCGAAATCTTATCAAGTCATCCCAGGAAATCTTACCAAGTCATCCCAGGAAATCTTACAGTCATCCCAGGAAATCTAACAATGTTATCCCAGGAAATCTTACCAATTCATTCCAAGAAATCTCACCAAGCCATCTCAGGAAATCATACCAAGTCATCCCAGGAAATCTAACCATGTTATCCCATTAAATCTTACCAATTCATTCCAAGAAATCTCACCAAGTGATTCCAGGAAATCCCAACAAGTCATCCCAGGAAATCTAACCATGTTATCCCACGAATCCTTACCAATTTATTTCAAGAAATCTCACCAAGTCATCCCAGGAAATCATACCTAGTCATCCCAGGAAATCTTACCTAGCAATCCCAGAAAATCTTCCCAAGTCATCCCAGAAAATCTAACCAAGTCACCCCAGAAAATCTTACCTAATAATCCCAGAAAATCTTACCAAGTCATCCCAGGAAATCTTACAGTCATCCCAGGAAATCTAACAATGTTATCCCAGGAAATCTTACCAATTCATTCCAAGAAATCTCACCAAGTGATTCCAGGAAATCCCAACAAGTCATCCCAGGAAATCTAACCATGTTATCCCATGAAATCTTACAAATTCATCCCAGGAAATCTTACCTAGTAATCCCAGAAAATCATACCAAGTCATCCCAGGAAATCATACCAAGTAATCCCAGGAAATCTTACCAAGTCATCACAGGAACTCTTACCAAGTCATCCCAGAAAATCTCACCAAGCCATCTCAGGACAACTCACCAAGTCATCTCAGGAAATCTCACCACTTCATCCCAGGAAATCTTACCTAGTAATCCCAAAAAATCATACCAAGTCATCCCAGGAAATCTAACCATGTTATCCCACGAATCCTTACCAATTTATTTCAAGAAATCTCACCAAGTCATCCCAGGAAATCATACCTAGTCATCCCAGGAAATCTTACCTAGCAATCCCAGAAAATCTTACCAAGTCATCCCAGGAAATCTTACAGTCATCCCAGGAAATCTAACAATGTTATCCCAGGAAATCTTACCAATTCATTCCAAGAAATCTCACCAAGTGATTCCAGGAAATCCCAACAAGTCATCCCAGGAAATCTAACCATGTTATCCCATGAAATCTTACAAATTCATCCCAGGAAATCTTACCTAGTAATCCCAAAAAATCATACCAAGTCATCCCAGGAAATCTAACCATGTTATCCCACGAATCCTTACCAATTTATTTCAAGAAATCTCACCAAGTCATCCCAGGAAATCATACCTAGTCATCCCAGGAAATCTTACCTAGCAATCCCAGAAAATCTTCCCAAGTCATCCCAGAAAATCTAACCAAGTCATCACAGGAAAACTCACCAAGTCATCCCAGGCAATTATACCAAGTCACCCCAGGAAATCTTACCTAGTTATCCCAGGAAATCTTACCAAGTCATCACAGGAACTCTTACCAAGTCATCCCAGAAAATCTCACCAAGCCATCTCAGGACAACTCACCAAGTCATCTCAGGAAATCTCACCACCTCATCCCAGGAAATCTTACCTAGTAATCCCAAAAAATCATACCAAGTCATCCCAGGAAATCTAACCATGTTATCCCATGAAATCTTACAAATTCATCCCAGGAAATCTTACCTAGTAATCCCAAAAAATCATACCAAGTCATCCCAGGAAATCTAACCATGTTATCCCATGAAATCTTACCAATTCATCCCAGGAAATCTTACCTAGTAATCCCAAAAAATCATACCAAGTCATCCCAGGAAATCTAACCATGTTATCCCATGAAATCTTACCAATTCATTCCAGGAAATCTCACCAAGTCATCCCAGGAAATCTTACCAAGTCATCCCAGAAAATCTCACCAAGCCATCTCAGGACAACTCACCAAGTCATCTCAGGAAATCTCACCACTTCATCCCAGGAAATCTTACCTAGTAATCCCAGAAAATCATACCAAGTCATCCCAGGAAATCATACCAAGTAATCCCAGGAAATCTTACCAAGTCATCACAGGAAAACTCACCAAGTCATTCCAGGAAATCTCAACAAGTCATCCCAGGAAATCTTACCAAGTCATCCAAGGAAATCTCACCACTTCATCCCAGGAAATCTTACAGTCATCCTAGGAAATCTTACCAAGACACCACAGGAAATATCAACAAGTCATCCCAGGAAATCTTATCAAGTCATCACAGGAAATCCCACCTATTCATCCCAGGAAATCTTACCAAGTCATCACAGGAAATCCCACCTATTCATCCTGGGAAATCTTACCAATTCAAGTCATCCTAGGAAATCAAACCAAGTCATCCCAGGAAATCTTACCAAGTCATCCAGTAAAACTCACAAAGTCATCCCAGGAAATCTCACCAAGTCATCCCAGGAAAACTTCACCAATTCACCACAGGAAATCTTACAAAATCACCCAGGAAACCAATCTAATTAAAATTATATCTTCACATCGCTCCCGTTTACTGATATGTCGCGATGAAGATCTAACAACATCCCGTAGAGGGTCGTGTTCAGGCGACCTTTGCATTAACCAATCAGATGAGAGCTTACGCATTTCTGTAAGTGATGATGTAATGATTTCGGAACACACTTGCTATGATAAAAGACCGAGAGGTGTCAAATGAGCATCGAAAATGGCGGCGCCCATGACACCACGCCGTGTCTATCTACAAGACAACGTTTGTACAATTTGTGGATTTTGCTTTGAAATAAGGGAGACTTCCTCTTCTGGTGATGTTGTCGTTAAAAAGTTTAACAACCTGAAACTAAAATTAACCAATGACAGGCTTCGCAATATTCAAACTATCACTGGACCAGACGAAAAAGTGGATTTTGGGCTACGAGGTGTCTGCATTAAATGCTACAGGTCCTGCTTTCTGATTGGTTGAATGAAAGAGTTATGTCGCGTTTTGATTGGCTTGTTATAAATGCGATAATGCATTCATGTTGACCTCTGACGTGACCCTCTATGGGATGTTGTTAGATCTTCAACGCGACATATCAGTAAACGGGAGCGATGTGAAGATATAATTTCGATTAGATTGCCAGGAAACTCAACTAGTTGTCTCAGAAAAATTCACCAATACATCCCAAGAAAATCTCACTTATTTTAAGTAAGAAATCTTCCACTGAAGATTTATTTTGTTTTATAAATTCTACAAAAATCCAAAAATTCATCAATTATTTTATGATATTAGCATAATAGATGATACATATTTTACTTGTTTCAACAAGACTCATCAAGCTGAAAAAAATGAGGTTAGCAATTGTGAATATTAATGAAATATCTTTATCAAACTTTTAAAATACTGGGGAAAAAGATTTTAAAAACTATGTCAGATTGATCAAATTCTTTTTTTTTTATGTTTAACTAGCATTAATTTAATATCGACAGTCATAGCTTGACAAGGGACCAGATTGTCCTGAAACATTGCGACACGTTTAATATGTATATTGTTTGTTTATACCACTTCGATATTACATATTTCCAAACTGATGAAATCTTACTGTAGATAGCATTAGTTTACATGAGACTGAGTACTATACACATCAACTTTGATTCCTTCAAGTGTTGTGACAGCAGATTTCAGTACCCGTAATATTATACAGCCGTTTTTCTCTCCACTAATTCTACAACCTTACAACCTCCTTACATGTAATATGACACAGAATGGAGTACCGACCACAGTTTTTTCTACTTTCTGTTTGCCTTTGCTTCAAAATTTGACGTTCATTTTCACCATTGACCATTGATTGATCTTGTATTTATTGCCGATATAAATATGAAGAAATCTTAAAGCTCTGACTCCTTCATGTACAATAATTTGTTAATAGAATTACATGTATAACCAATCAAGTTAGCCAGTCTGGCAAGATCCTAGCGGCCATGACTACAAATCTTAATACAGTAGTTCAAATGGGCATTGTCTGATGGTGAGAAATGGAACTAAGGCAGGTAACCCAGTCTTGATATAACAGTGTCGAGAAAGTCTTTACCGTCCAACAAACACCTGGCGATGATTATCAACACCTTCCCAGCCTGTTCAGTATGTCCGCTATTGATGAGCTCCGGAACCCTCTGGAAAAACTTGCGGTGGAATGGTGAAGCAGCTTTTTTGACAAAGTCACACATGCTTGGATACTCACTAATAAAAAAAATGCAAAATTAATTTCAATGTGATAAATAGAATTTCCTACAAAAATTTAACATTTTTATTTGAGAACCATGTACTGTATTATTAACAAAATAAATAAACATTACATATATGTATATATTACCAGGTTGATTCTGAAGTACCGCAACAGAACTGAGAGCATAAAACTGACACAAAAATATTAAAAATATTCTAATTAGTCAGAAAACATTTTCATATTCTTGCAAATAATGATATTTAATATGCAATTTAGCAATGTTCAGCTGATTTTTTAACAAAGAAATGTATTGCCATCATTGAATTACTTAATTAAGTGAATTCCACAGGGACATGTAACATGCTATTTAGTTGAAATTATATAAAAACGGGTATCACTGTTTATATATAGTGTAGTACCAGTTTTCTATAAATCTTCAGCTATATAGCATGTGACATGTGTGCTTATTCACATTTCCCCCCAGTGTGTGATCATACTGTTTAAGGGTACTCTGCTAAAACTTACTAGATTTGAATCAAACCCTTCATATCTGCTTCGAGTTTGTCGAGTGATAAATCCCACGTCCGGTCTATGTCGTCGTCCATGCCAAAAGTGGGGTCTGGGGCTCCACTCTGGTTGAACAAGATGGACTTCCTGTCTTGCACCATGTCTGTTAAATAGTTCAGAATAAAAGGAGATCATTTCACCGAGTTGTGGCATGGAGCACACCTAGCACAGGAAAAGTTTCTTCTATATTTGGTCATCCAGCTTTATACAAGAGGCCCATAGGGCCTGTATCGCTCACCTGGATATCTAAGCAGTCATGGCAAAATATTCTCCAAATGAGATCCAAGAGAATATGCCAGACCCCAAGGACAATCATTGTACCATATCTGTATTAGATTTTTCATGCCCAGCAATTTTATGTATGGTTATGGGGTGGAGATCTCAACTGTTTCCAAGTTGTGACTCAGAAACTAGGTCCCTAGGGTTGTGACCAGACCCCAGGATCAATTCTAATATCATGACTGCATTTGGCTCTTTTTGACGAGCATTTGTACATATAGTTTTGGGGTGGGGATCTCAACCGTTTCAAAGTTATGACCCATGGGTTAAGTCTCCAAGGGTGGGGCAGTCCCCAAGGCCATCCTGGAAACATATGTGCATTCATCTCTTTATACTCAGCAATCCTCTATATGGTTATAGGGTGGGGATCTCAACTGTTTCCAAGCTGTGACTAAGAAACAAGGTCCCTAGGGGTTTGGTCAGACCCCAGGGTCTATTCTAATGTCATGACTGCATTCGTCTCTTTATGACCAGCATTTGTATATATATTTTTAGGGTGGGGATCTCAACCGTTTTAAAGTTATGGCCCAGGGACTATGTCTCCAAGGGTGGGGCCAGACCCTAGGGCCATCCTGGAAGCAAATGTGCATTCTTCTCTTATACTCAACAATTGTATATGTGGTTATATGGTGGGGATTTCAACCATTTCCAAGCAATAAACCTTTTTTGGCCCCACCCCTTAGCCCAGGGGGTAAGCCCGACCATTTGTACAATTTTGAATCCCTGCCTCCCATGAATGCTTCAGACCAAATATGGTTGATATCCATCTCTTAGTTCCAGAGAAGAAGTTGCTTAAAGCAATATAGCCAAATAACCCTTTTTGGCCCTGCCCCTCAGCCCCCTGGGGGGTCAGCCCCACCATTTGTACAATTTTGAATCCCTGCATCCCATGAATGCTTTTGACTAAATATGATTGATATCCAGTGCATACCGGTAGTTCTACAGAAGAAGTCATTTGTAGCAATATAGCCAAATTACCCCTTTTTGGCCCCGCCCCTCAGCCCCCTGGTCGGTCAGCCCAACCATTTGTACAATTTTGAATCTCCACCACCTAGGGATGCTTCCAGTCAAATATGGTTGATATCCATTTCTTAGTTCCAGAGAAGAAGTCGCTTAAAGCAATATAGCCAAATTGCCCCCTTTTTGCCCCGCCCCTCAGCCCCCTGGGGAGTCAGCCCCACCATTTGTACAATTTTGAATCCCCACCACCTAGGAATGCTCCCAGTCAAATTTAGTTAAATTCCAATCCGTGGTTAAGAAGAAGAAGTCGTTTAAAGAAATTGTTGACAGACAACGGACGGACGACGGACGACGTACGCCATGGTATGGCATACATGTCAATCATGCAGTAGTGACATGTCAATCATGCAGTGAACAAACAGTTACATGTTTACTTTAGTGAGATTAAAGAAGCTTAAGTTAGTTTAGACACATTTAACTTAAACAAAAACAAGAGGTCCATGGGTCTTTCAACAGTCATCCAAGTGTCAGACTCACAAGCTCTGTGGGCCAATTGTTCCCCCAATGCATAGCATATTGAACAAAGAATTTGGTGTATATCTACCACCTATGAGCCCCCAACACCCCTCTCCCCCCCATCCCCCTTATCCTCACCCCCTGTGATTTGGTCCAGGTGAGCTAAAAAAACATTGGAGATAAAAAAAATATCCATAAACTTATTTTGAAGACCCTGTTATATAGAGATGGCAATGCCTACAGTAGATTCTACATCTATAGCTACCAGATAAAAGTTTAAAAGCAAATGTGCCTCATGGTTAATGAGACCAAGGCTGGTTGTGCACCATTCATAATTCAAAATTAAAAGAGCCTGGTGACAGCAATGACAAGATCGCCCTTACCTATGTTACTGAACACTGGAAGCAGGCTTTCTGGTTCATCAGCAATCGCACACTGTAGAAGTTTCTGTAACTGGTCACGTGACAAGTCTGATAAAATCTCCGTCATAGGTGGATGAACAGGTACCTGTTAATAGTAATACAAGTATATTAAACAATATTTTTTAGGAGGTCATGATACACCTATGATATTTTCCAGATTTTTTCTTTTCTGAATTTAGTCTACTCATTTCCATTCCAACATGGCGAGTAATGCTCCAGCTCTGCATGCAGTTCGAAAGACGTGAATTGTATGACCATTTTGGACCAAGTGTATTTCCAGTTGTATTATTGCCATTAAAAAAATTTGCAACATATCTTTTCTCTTTGCTACTACCTGGTACTGTTACTATATATGTATTGTGATACGTTTTGCATCGTGACCACAGTATTGTGATACGTATTGTATCTTGACCGCAGTATCGTGATACGTATCTATCGTGAACACAGTATCGTGATACGTAGCGTATCGGGAACATAGTATCGTGATATGTATCGTATCGTGAACACAGTATTGTGATATGTATCGTATCTTGAACATTGTATCGTGATACATATCGTATCGTGAACACAGTATCGTGATACGTATCGTAACGTGAACACAGTATCCTGAACATTAGTATCGTGATACGTATCGTATCGTCATGTTAATGTATCATTGCAGCCCTAGTATTCACAAGGTTTACCAATGGTATGATTACAACTGTCAAATATGTCAGTTTATTGGAATATTCAGTCATTTTTTTATGCATCTAAATTAACTGTATTAATTCTTCTGATGTCAATTGCACAAACTTTGAACGAAACGACATTCAAGATGTCACAGTAATGTCACTATGAGTTTATGATGACTGGCCATGAACCAGTAATATCCATCATTTACCTTGGTATGGACTTTCGTTGAGGTGCATATGTGGTTGTATGAACCCGAAAAAAGATATATTAATCCAAAAAAAGTCAAGTTTGATATTACTTTTCAGGTCCATATAACCACACATTCACCGAAATAGAAGTCCTTATAATTAATTGTTATGTTAGATATGAAACTATACCGTTTTCATTTTTAACAAGATGAAATGTAATAAATTTGTCAAGGGAAGTGCATTTGGCAGAGAGCATTGTGATGTTCACATCGTAGTGACATCATAAAGAGAATACTGACCTGCTGGTTATAAAAATAATAACTTCACGTCAATATGACAAATCACGGACCTCTACACGAGGATGTAGACATAAGTTGGATAATCTGATATTAACACGTACCGTTTCTGCATGCCTGATACGATGTAGGGCCACTGACAATATGTGACAACACCACAGTTTTTTCGGACAACGACTACATTTTGTAGACACGATCGTCTGTTTTTCAAACTTCAGCGTTACTTTTGAAATGTTGTTGGAATTTGGCTTTCCAACAACAGCTGACAACATCAACCCTGTAAAAATAAGGAAATGTAAAACTAGGCCAGTAATATTGTACAAAGTTAAGGTGTGATTATCGTACCTTTCCTTACCTTTTGTTTGTAAGCATATTCTCATGACACAATTCATCTTCAAAGACACACACACGAAAAAAGGCAAACATTTACTAGTTGTAAAAGCTATTGTAGGATGTATGTACCATTTGTGCAATAAATTTATTGTGTTAATCTGCTTTTGGCTCTCAAAAATACTTATTTGACCTTAAACTTTGAGGTCAAGGTTACAGTGACTTAATTACAGTACATTGCATACTTTCAGCATGTGACGCATACAAACTTCTGGTTTTGGTTCCGATATGTTTTTCTTTACACTTTAAAAGTTATTACCCAGACCACATTTCGCTGATTTGTTTTCATTTATTTGAGGCTTGACCTTGAGGTGAAGGTCATTGTGACCTAATTATAGTGACCTGCACATCTCCAGAGGGTGATGCAGGTAAAGCTGAAGTTTATTCCAGATATCTTTTACATAAATTTATGGCCAAGAGGTTTATATGAAAATATAGATAACCAGAAGAATTTACATTCAAGTAACTTTTTCATATTTCTAGAAAATGATTGATTACCCACCAACTTGTGTCATGTCCCGGATATAACCGTCCATACACTTTCTGTCTGCCTTCCTCCACTCAGCCTCTGTCTTTAGGCATAGTCGCGCACAGCATTTCACCTTATTCTCGTCACATGGGAATGACCAACGTGATATCTAAGGCAAAAATCAACAGGAAAACCCCAGGAAAATTTAAGTATATTTTCAGTCGTTCTCAATGCCATCAAAACTTTGAAAAAACTAAAATATTTCATATCATTACACATGATCTATATAACAGTGTGTCTGATCAGATTTTTTTTATTATATGACGGGGAAATAGAACAGTATGTCACTTTCGCATGCTCAAGTTACCCCTGTCATATTTGCCTTATTTGGACCCTCTCTATAAAATGTGGGAGAGACATGTACCTCAACAGAGCTTTAGGTGAATAAGGCAGACAACATCAATAGCATGTCAACATGAGAACCTTTAATATTTCTAGGGGTTTTCACCATGATAATTATTGACTGCCCTGGTGGTAGGGAAATACAATTCTTTGTTTCACCTCTATTCATCATGTTTCCCTATATACCACAAGGCCAATACATGTTTTGTGTCAGTAGATCTGGAAATCATGTAAATGTTGTATTCAGAGGAACTATCGACAAGTGCCAAAAAGTTAGTGTAAGCTCTACAACTGATGGCACAGTAATACGGTCAATTTCTTACAGTACAAATTTTAATATGATCTTTCAGTACATAAGGCAGATAAAATAAAGACTGGCAAGGTCAAAAAATGTCCTTGCCCCTACCTGCCCTGCCAGTGACCTTTCAGGGTCAGTCAGGGTCATTGACATCATTAACAATTGCCATCCCAGCTTCATATGCAAATGAGAAATGTGCAGACAGTTTAAAACTTTACTAGAAGAGCAGCTGTTTTTACAGGTTTTAGGTAATAAGCAAGAAAGAGAATCCATCCCTGATGTGAGGTATGGATTAATAGAATCCATCACTGATGTGAGGTATGGATTAATAGAATCCATCACTGATGTGAGGTATGGATTAATAGAATCCATCCCGGATGTGAGGGATGGATTAATAGAATCCATCCCTGATGTGAGGTATGGATAAGGTAATTCAAACCCAAGGGATAAAATATCGAGCAGAAGACCAAAGGCTGTGCCGAGGGTCTTCTGCTCAATATTTTATCTTGAGGGTTTGAATTACCTTATCCATACATCACATCAGGGATGGATTCTATTTCTTGCTTATTACCTAAAACCCGTAAAAACAGCTGTTCTTCTAGTAAAGTTGTAAACTGTCTGCACATTTCTCATACCAGATCCAGACCCGTGAGTCGGATAGAATTTTCCAGCACTGCCGGAAATGCAGATATCTAGGTCTAGTATGCAAGAAAAGGTAATTCAAACACTCAGGATGAAATATTGAGCAGAAGACCCTTGGCAAAGCCTTGGGTCTCCTGCTCAATATTTTATACCTAGTGTTTGAATTACCTTATCCATACCTCACATCAGGGATGGATTATATTAATACATATAACCAGTGAAAAGTCACATCATCAAAATGAAACATCTAGGTACTTCAAATTTAATCATTTCCTGTTGGGTTTTTTTAAAAACAGAAAAATATGCTTCTTACTTGAGCAAAACAGTACTGTAATTGCTTCCTAAAAACTCCTAATTATCATGTGATCTTAGCTGTTACGAGGAGTTAAGTTGATATTTTCTTAACTTAACGATCCTTCACTAAGAAGAAATTAAAGATAATGGGTACGGTTTTATTAATCCTAATTCTGAGGTTTTCTGAAACCAAGCGAGATTGTCTAATATTTTTCTTTCTTACTTTCCTCAGCAGCAGCTGATCCAGGGGAGGGTCACATTTCTCCAGGCTTTCTAAGCTGTGATGTAAGGCTGTAGCTGATGCTGCCAGGTCCAACAGCGGCACAGCATTACATAGGTTTGTGCTGGTCTCCTTAGGTACTGCAGCCATTTCCCGCCTGTTCGCACGCGATAATACCTCTGCATAACTTGACCTTCTACGTAGTCGACGAAGATGTGAGATGAAGGACTCGGATTCATACTCATCATCGCTGTCAAGGTCACTGGAGTCATCTGAGGGTATTACTTCTACAACACAAGATAATCTCAGTCAAGTCATCAGAAAACAGTTATTTCCTAAACATCAGATATTTGGCACTTAAGTCATCTTAGTTACTATGGTGATGGCAAATTGGTGTGTCTTCAAACAAAATCATTATTTCTATCCATGACCTTGACCTTTGACCTGACATTTCAATCGGTTTCATTCATCTTCTTGTCATATGCCCAACCAGAGTTCCAATTTTGAAAGATATTGGATATTAATATTAAACAGCCTTTGCACTATCATGCCAACAAGTAACTATATCTCTGCAACTTTGGTGTGAGAGGATAATGAAATATTACTATAATTAATATGTAGCAGAACTCGATTGGGTGGATCGTCGGGGTCTAGGAAACTCAACCCGGTAAAGTATTTGTCAAGAGTTCAGAGGCCCCAGGTTCAAAATCCTAGTCTGGCATTTGCATTTCTCTTTCTCCCATTACAAAATTGACGAGCTTACCAACCCTTGTTTCAAGTACTGGGTGAATGCTTGACAAGGAGATACCCAAACCCAAATTATAAATAGTCGTGTCTTTGGGACAAAGACTTAAAAAAAGGAGGGAGGAATTTAGAGGACTGGGTTGATTTTTGGGGACCAGGTAGCTCAATTTGTAGAGCATCCGTCTGGAGTTTGGAGGTCCCAGGTTTGAATCCCGGTCTGGCTGCAGCGTCTCTCTTTCTCCCATTACATATGTATATAACAGCTCTGCCTGATGGTGCTAGATAGGCACAAAACTGGGCACATAATAGCAGTATTCAATGACAATGACAGGATTGATTTAAGTTGTAAATTATTAAGTGATTCCAAAAGATTCCATGTATACGTATTTGAAAAAAGACTAAACATTGTTGACAATTAACAAGAAGTATATTGCACTAATTGTTTGTTTGTTAACGGCTTTGAAACTGGTGCATTCCATCATAGTCATCCGCATCTGGTATGTAAATATAATCTAACAAGGGGTCCATAGGGCCTGTATGGCTCACCTGGATATTTTAGCAATCATGGGGAAATATTCTCAATAAAAGAAATTTTGCAAATATTTCCATATATTGAGTCTCCTTAACTTAAAAATGTTCCAGACTAAATGAAATTTTATACTACTCTATCCCAGCATGCTACTGGTCAAATATCATCACCCAGAGCCCAATGAATTGCAGAAGAAGTTGTTTTAACATATTTGACCCCTTTGACTTTGGAAGAAGACCAAGCTAGGTCATTTATTTAGGGAAAATTTATTGCACTCATTGCCAGGTACCTACTTGCCAACTATCATCACCCTCAACCTTCTGGTTATCCAGAAGATATATAAAATGTTTTTTTATATATATTTGATGCCTGTGACCTTGAAAGTAGGTCAAGGTCATTTATTTGAGGAAACTTTATAGCACTTCATGCAAGGTACTTTCTGGCCAAGTATCATTACTCTGGTCCTCCTTGTTATTCAGAAGAACTTGTTTAAAGGATATTTTTTTTTACATATTTGACCCGTGACCTTGAAAGTACAAAAGAGTCATTTATTTGAGGTTACTTTATAGCAAGCTTTCCCAGGTACCTACTGGCCAAATAGCATTGCTCTAGGCCTCTTGGTAATTCAAAAAAAAGCTGTTTAAACATTTTTAACACTCAGGACAGTTTATAGCACTTTATGCAAGGTACCTACTGGCCAAGTATATTATTACTCTGGGCCTCCTATAGTTATTCTGAAGCAGTTGTTAAAATTGGTTTTACATATTTGACTCCTGTGACCTTGAGAGTAGATCAAGGTCATTATTTGAATAAACTTTGTAACACTCTGCCCCAGATATCTACTGGCTAAATATGATGGCCCTAGGTCATCCAGTTCTTAACGGACAACGGACAGACAGCGGACGGACAACACACCATACAATAATATATGCTGGTGCCAGGTGAGCTAAAAATATGAAGTCGTCTTCCCTACCCTGTCAGTCTTCCCTACCCTGTCAGTCTTCCCTACCCTGTCAGTCTTCCCTACCCTGTCAGTCTTTACTCTGTCAGTCTTCCCTACCCTGTCAGTCTTCCCTACCCTGTCAGTCTTCCCTACCCTGTCAGTCTTTACCCTCTTTACCCTGTCAGTCTTTACCCTGTCAGTCTTCCCTACCCTGTCAGTCTTCCCTACCCTGTTAGTTTTCCCTACCCTGTTAGTCTTCCCTACCCTGTCCGTCTTCCCTACCCTGTTACTCTGTCAGTCTTCCCTACCCTGTCAGTCTTCCCTACCCTGTCAGTCTTCCCTACCCTGTTATTCTTCCCTACCCTGTCAGTCTTCTTTACCCTGTCAGTCTTCCCTACCCTGTCAGTCTTCTCTACCCTGTTACCCTGTCAGTCTTCCCTACCCTGTCAGTCTTTACCCTGCCAGTCTTCCCTACCCTGTTACCCTGTCAGTCTTCCCTACCCTTCTATATTGACAGCAATTTGGGAAGACTTATTTTTACATATTTACATACCAAATGCAGATGCCTGTGACTTTTTCCTACTTTAAGATCACTTACATAATTATACTTCATTTTTATGAAATACCATACTAATGTATTAGCCACCTTTATATAATATTACTATGTAAAACACAGGCCTATACTTTATAGGACTTGTAGAAAAGAAAATGTAAAATATACCAATGATTCATACACTGTCTATGATTATGTGTAGGTGGTATCTATTTATAGATCCAACCTCATAACCTGAACCAGGTTTAATTTAGAAGGGGTGAAAAAATGATCAGCAATATAAAAACAAATTAAAGCAAACTATTGTAATATGTACTACACAATAGCACCATTCAAACAGTAGGAATGATTGTGTTTGTTTTAATTATGTAATATGTACTACACAATAGCACCATTCAAACAGTAGGAATGATTGTGTTTGTTTTAATTATGTAATATGTACTACACAATAGCACCATTCAAACAGTAGGAATGATTGTGTTTGTTTTAATTATGTAATATGTACTACACAATAGCACCATTCAAACAGTAGGAATGATTGTGTTTGTTTTAATTATGTAATATGTACTACACAATAGCACCATTCAAACAGTAGGAATGATTGTGTTTGTTTTAATTATGTAATATGTACTACACAATAGCACCATTCAAACAGTAGGAATGATTGTGTTTGTTTTAATTATGTAATATGTACTACACAATAGCACCATTCAAACAGTAGGAATGATTGTGTTTGTTTTAATTATGTAATATGTACTACACAATAGCACCATTCAAACAGTAGGAATGATTGTGTTTGTTTTAATTATGTATCATGGAGTATAATTTAGGAGATCGAGTCTGGAACTTATATATCATATTGTAATTTTAAACAAACAATAAGCATTGTACATCTTTTATACTGTGGCAGATTAAATAGCTTCAATTTTTCATGAACTTCCTTATGCATGGGTCAAAAAAAGCTTACGTAATACAACTGTAGTATATACCACAATGTTCGAATCAAGTCTGTCATGGGTCACCAGGTCTCGTCTATAACTATCTCCACACCAAATGAATGGTTTGTTTGTTTGTTTGTTTGTTTGTTTGTTTGTTTGCTTGGTGTTAAATGTCTTCCCAACCAAGACAGGGTCATATGAGAACGGTAAGTGAATGGTATTAGTTCTAGGAATCGAGACAATAAGCTAGTCATTCCAATCTGCTATTTATAAATCATACATCATTACCTGCTATAAATAGTCAAGACCTATAATGGAAGATTTCTCAGAAGATTGATAGGTAATGACCTCAGTGATAGGACAGCTTTTTTTAAATTGGGTTCCCATGCAAGTAAGTGTAATTATAATTTGGTTCTACACGACTTGAATTTTAATACAATTGTACATTTTGTCTTGTTGTATTTAACAACAGAATTATTTAGACACACTTGTCACATATTAGTAATTCTTCACAGTTTACAGTCGAAACTTTCAGCACTGGATGTCATCCATGCTTAACACTTCCTGGATGAGTGATGTTGGTAAGGGCCTGTATCCTGTGTTGTATCACGGAATTAGATTAGCTTTCTAAGTCCGGGGTTGTATAGAGTTCACACAAGTTCACAGCCATAAAACAAAACATATGTACTTAATATCGTCCTATTTCACCAATTAGGCAATACCTGAAACTCTTCTGCTACGTGTTTTTTTCCTCTTATTTCCCAATATGCACATGTACATGTATATGCAAATTAAATGAAACTATGACGTATCTACTGTGACTGTAAGTGTGTATCGCCTACAAAACATGTCATAGGCCTAATGTTATACTGTGTTAAGGTAAAGATTTATGAATTGAACATTTCCACCTTGCAGATAATATTCTTTTAACATCTGTCTGTGTGAAAAAATATCAACTTAAATAACTAATTAATAAACAGATGCCTGTACATATACATGTATATCAAAGGATTGGTTTCATCTCTAATTTTCTTTTAGCCTGAGTTTACTCTGTGTCATTTTTCCCCTGCATTGACATATGTGCCTGTATGAATTGAGAATGTCTGCTATATTGACTGTTTATACGACTACTTTCACTATGTGGTGTACCAGCAGTACAGGAGTATACAGGACCATCCCTAGCTGTTTGCGCACATTTTAAATTAAGTGTTAATTCTCTAATGATGTATGTGCAATACTTTACCTATATCATCGTTATCCTCATCCTCCAGAAAATCTGACCGGGAATCATCCCCGAACCGTAGTAATCCGGACATATATCCCGACCGATCACAAACACGTCGCCATCATGATCATGTTATTGTATTTTCCTATAACTACAAGGGAAATCCCCGATTCTCGTTCTGGTAAGTTAGGTCAAAGTTCAAATACTGGGGCGTTCAAAGTGTGGTTAGCTTCTATTTTCATTGACGTAATTAACGCAGAAACGTTTTATTTAACTGATATACCTAGCAATTACGTATTCATCGATGCACATAATTTACATCATTTATCCTCTTTTTCTCTCTCATTTAAACATGTTTTATTACCACAAATTACACCAATAGGGTTGTGGAAACCAGGGGGTTTCGAATTACAGACGATTCGTCACAAAACCGCCACGCCCCAAACTATTTCGCCCCAATTTTTCTAAGTTTACAGTTCATTTCGCCACAAGTTTGACAACCATATCGCCCCTAAAAAAATCGCCCTCCAAACCATTTCGCCCAAAACCTATATCGCCTAAAAGTCTTTATCGTCCAAACAGCCCTATCGTCTCTTATCCTATACCGAACGATATATTTAGTGGTAAATATTGCATTTGAAGAACTGCTACTAATTCTGTTTTTATTTTTGTGTTACAAATGCTAATTGCTTTCAATTAAATTACAGTATCACTAGATATAAGTTCATATTCAAAGGATATGTACGGTATTACTCAAATGGCATTTTTTTTTTTTACATTTTTCTATTCACCTTTTCTGTTATATGTATTCTCTGAAAATCTGCAATAAAAGTGTTGGATTACATGTCTAATATAGACACTATCGATCTACGGCAGGCGTGCATATTGTCATCTAACTTTTTTTTTTGATAGCTACATTCATCAATTTATGATGACAAGTAGTGAAGATCGAGTATACGAACATCTAAAGAAATATCTTTGATGTAATTAACACTTTGCCTACACATAGTAGAAATATGACTTAGTTGTTTATTTTAAAATCATCATTTTTAAACCACAGGACAGTTAGGAAACAGTTTCAGAAAATCTGGAAGCTTGTCTGACAGATATCAGTATCTGGATGAACGCCAACGTCTTTCCCCCAAAGTGTCAGCAAACAATGGCTCTCCAGCTCAAGGTCGGTGCCAGAACTTTTGAGACTGTCCCAAATGAACGCTATTGCCAAATCCTGTTACTACCAGATCAGGAACATCGGCTGTATTCGGCAGTTTCTAACTGCAGATGCATGCAAGATTTTGGTGCATATCTGACAAACTAACTAGTCGCCTGCAGAGGGTCCAGAACACTGCAGCACGGCTGGTTACTCGTACTCGAAAGAGAGAGCACATCACACCTGTGCTATATTCACTGCACTGGTTACCTGACAGTTGTACGAACAGGTCGCAGTACATAAGTTTGGGGTGCACATACAAGACACTGAATGGAACAGCTCCTCAGTACCTACAAGAGCTTGTTACCCTGTATCAGCCGTCACGATCACTGCGGTCGGAGTCGGAATCTTTGTTGTGTGTCCCAAAATCTCCTACCGTCACCTATGGAAACAGGTGCTTTGGGAGGGTTTCGGCCTCGTTGTGGAATAGCTTACCATCTGCTATTAGAAAGTCAAATACCATGGCCAAATTCAAGAGGGGCATCAAACTCACCTCTTCACGTCTGCATTTTAAAATCCTTGCAAAGACGTCATGTAAATGCCATCCTTAAATTGTTCAATTTTGTTAAATTATGCCGTTCACATTGCTTGCTTAAATGTATAAAAGTGATTGTAAGCCTTTGTTTTTGTTTCACAATTATAACTATTACTTTTATATCCATCCATATGTAGAGTAATTTTACAAATTATATAGGGCGCTATATAAATGTTGTATATTATTAGTATCATCCATCTGTGTATTATTACTCCATCAATCAATCGGTGATCAATCGGTGATAATTTTAAACCATTTTTAAAAGTGTCATACATTGTATAAGCTCAAATGTGCCGCAGTACAAGTTCCTTACAAGATGTACAATTTATCAGACGAGTTCATAGCTAAAAAGTTTTCAATTATAGATGAGCGCTGCATGTATCACCATAACACGGGCCAGTGACATATACATTGGGAGCGTTAAACAATGAATAAGTCCGGTCTTCTGATGGCACAGTGTTCTTGTTCGTGGTGTCGGAATATCTGGTGTATCTATGGTCATAATTTGTTTATTCCATTTTAGACTAACAAGTATCATTCCGTAGCTTAATAAACCAATAAGTATGGTACCCAATGTAAGACACAAAAGCTTAAAAAACCCGCCTTTGTTTATATGTTACTAACATCTTGTGGCTTAAACGAACATTTTATAAGAATGTCGATTACTACATAAAGTTTAAAAGCGAAAAGTTGAAACGCGCAATAACATTAGATAGCAATCTAATTGCGTATTTAAACATTCAAATAGTACTTAATTCGCAAGGAAATTGAACGATGGAATGAGAGAGGGGAAATGCACATATCACATTAAAGATTACAAGCCACTCAAAAAATCCATTGATTTGGGGCGATGTAGGCCTAGCTCTCGGTACGAATTAAATTTTTTGGGCAATATGTATGGAGCGTAAAGGTTTTTTGGGGGCGAAATGGTTGGGCGATATGAAACATACTTGGGGCGTAACAGCTTGGGGCGTTACAGTTTTTGGGCGAATCGTCTGTTTAAATTTTCTACGGAATTCTACCTGTCCGTGGTTCAACATTTATCTTTTTTTTAATATTTTTTTAACATGCGTCAAAAAATAGTCACCAATTAAAATTGTCGGACTGAGAGAAAAACATTTATTAAAACCTAATTTCGTTCAATTAATTTTAAACGAAGAATAACTTGACCATGGGCTGGTTCTCATTACAGTATTTTCCGCAAGTAAATACGACGTGCATGTATTGCGCTTTCCTAGAAGTGTGAACAGACCTGACTCGTCAACGTATTTTTCAGACGTGCAACTAACTGGTGACATCGGGCAAGTTAACATTAAATTTATTTGAAATTTCAGGTCAAAACATTGTTTAGTTTTGAAAGAAGAATTTAGATTTTTTTTTAATTTTAATAACTTGCTTCCAATATGTCTCTATTTAGTCCTTTTCACAAGAATGTTCATTGTAACGACTTTCATTATGTGATACATCCACATACTAAGATAATTTAACTCCGTGATATATCGAATATTTCTAATCATAATTCATAATACCAAAATGTTTAACGCCTTCTCAAATTTTGTACCATGTCCACTTCGGAACTACAAACTGTTAACATGTGTGGTCATGATTTTTATTTGTATATTTTGATTGCACGTCAAAGTTGGCAAAATCCCTATTTATTAATATTAAAAAAACACATTATTATTACATAGTAAATTCAAGACCTCAATTTACTAATATTTAGAAGAAGAAGGATGTTGTTTTCAAATACTAAGAAATGATACCATTAATGAATGATTTACTTTTGCTTGTTATTGATTTTATAAGTTTTGATCGAAAACTTCTCTCTATTCCTGTAAAGGTTTCCACTCGAGGAAAGTACCAACAGTTGGAAATTATTTTTCTGTTGAATAATGTACAATATAAACTTTTTTGTGCATATTTACTTAAATTATTATAAATCGGATCTATTGCTTGATACCGTACAAGGCAAAAATTATAGAGTGTTAGACCACGGACTTTTAAAATCATATTCCGTGGTTAGACACTACAATTTTGTTTTAAGTTTCTTGTACTCAGAGACGTATATATATATATAGATTAGTTACATAACACATTATATATTACTAGCCCAAAACGAACGACTTGTTGCAGGCAACTACATATAATGTCTATGCATTTTTTTCTCCTCAATTAAACATTAAATTTTATATCATGTAACATCAAAACATCTGGATAGACAATTAGTCTAAACTGTCCAGAGCCGAACAGGCTCAATGTATACTATCTTGATAGGCTTTCGCGGAAAACGTCAACCAGATGGCGCGAAACACAAAAATATCACGTGACATCACAAAAATGGATGCCCTAGACGGGATAATAAGAATTTGGGCCCGTGGATCTAGGAACCTGTTCGATGATGGTACGGGGGATGGTTTAACTATACACAAATAGATAACACTCCGTACGCTTTTTATACAATTATTTAGTGCAGTGTTGAGTCTTGAAAGACGTTGACACCGGTTAGGCCTAATGGCAGAGGCACGTTCGCCTCAGGACTGCACAAATGCACGTGATAGACATTCGTAGGACAGCTCGGACACTGCAGACATGTCTACAGCCTTCAAGAAACATCAATAATATTTTCAGTGAAAATAACCCACCTCGGTCTAATTCATCATAAAACCTAATACTTGAACATAACCAGTTAACGTAACCAGAACCCCTTTTATTACTAAAGTGTGATGCTGTCGTGGTGGCAGTATTGGCATATGTTGCTGCACGAGAGAAGTGGTAAAATTTATGGCTGACAATGAATACATTCAATTTCCTATAACTTGTATACCATGTTAAATCAATGAGGCAATATGCCTAGTACATTCAGTAAAGTGCAGTAAACTTTGTTTATCTGAACTTTCCCTAGCACTGGAATGTGGCTGAGCAGTGGTTGAGGTGGACAGACATTTACATCTGATTAAACATGAGGTGTCGGTATCTTGTTTCCTTTCATCCAAAGTGAATTGAGCGTCTTTGACATTGAATTGTAAAGCCTTAGTACAGTGTACAGTCTCCTCCCAAGTATGGTTGTACTGTACTTGAGAACAATGATGGACAGTACTATATCAAAATCTCGTAACTGGTGGTGTCGACCGTGATGCATCTGGTTGCTTGCTGATGCTTGTAAGCTAGGCAACCTAATCAATGCAAATCTTTTACGATAACATAGGAGTTTATGTGAAAACAAAACAATTACTGTGGTATGTAATGCCTCTTTGGTTTTGATAGAGCAGCATGTACTAGGCATATAGTTGATATAAAGTGTGGCATAGTTGGACCAAAAGGACCTGTCATGTTGATGTCTGAATGGAATATATATTCATTGTATTTATTTTTAGGAATGCATATGATCGCCTGTTCATTATTCAGGTGTTTTGAGTACAGTACATGCATTTGGAATGTCACGACAGTTTCACACATAACTTGGCTGATCGTGATCATTTTCTTTGAACAACAGATCTTCCTATGCTCCCTATATAGAAGATAGACTTGCATTGGATTCAATTGGCCTGTTATCAATTTGGTAACCTGAGGTCAACACATGCATATGACTGGTCATTTTGGTGTATCACAAATTAGTGACTGGATTTACAAGTTGCTACACATTTTTTGTCTTTTTCATAGATGTCATGTTTATTGTCACGTAAACAAGGAAAACTGATTTTAATTGAGAAAATACCATTCTTGTCTCTTTTTATTTTTATACTAGTATGCATATCTCTCAATACATATCTTAGCATTGAGGCATCATACCTGGGGTAATTAATATGTGGGCAATGAGTTCTATCCTAGCTGTTCTGATATACAGGTAAATGCAATTATGAAAAGTTTTCACTCACTCAGGGAATTACCTATAAGCTATCTATAAGAGACAAACATAACATTTTTCAGACTCGGACTCCAACTCTTATGCAGATTCCATGGACTCTCTCAATAGTTTGTTTGATGACCACCAATATTTGTACTCATCTCGAACAGAGGTGCGGCGCCCAAAGACGCCGGAGATTGTGAAAGAAAAACCCAAAACAGTCCTCAGATTGATGGATTTGGCTGCCAAAGTGACAGCTCAACACTATTCCTGTGAAAGTATTGAGACACATAATCCTCCCCTTGATGAAGCATTGTTGAAAAAGGTAAGGAAGGAAGTATGGCAAAAAACAGAAAACATGTTAGGGTGGCATTAGCCAAAAAAAATGTTGGTAGGTCAGATTATTTTTTTTGGTATATATACATGTGAGTATACATACTAACCAGCAGGTTAATTTTGAAAAAATCTACTTGTCGGACCTCTATTTCTAATTGAAATATTTTTCTTATCCCAATGCAACATGAATTCTACTAGCTCTGGGTGTTTGGCTAGTGGAAATCTATACCACTCACTCACTGTTGATGAAGATATTACAACCTTGAAGATACACTGCTGTATGAACTATGGAGAGTTAAAAATATGTTAGGTTTGTTCTTATTATTTCATAAATTCACAAAAAAAAAAATTGATAAAAAATTCAAACAATATTTTATTTATTTGACAAATGTTTCTTAGAAACAAGTAAATACTTTAAATTCCAGAAATTGTTCATAATAATTTTGAGTTAGTTTAGAATATCAACATGATGCATATAGTGGCTGCTTATCATATTTAGTTGCCTTCAATGTGAATAAATTTGTCAATAAAAAAATATTGGTTTTGATGAATTTTTGGCACAAAAACGTTGCTTGTTGATATGAAAATCTGAATGAAAAAATGAGCCTGGTGTCAAAAATAGTCGGACAGATAAAACATGACCATGATATCATGCTGCTGCCTTCAGATGAATTCACAGCCCAAATAATTAATTAGTGTTGCAGTGTTGTTACAATCATTAAGCATCTCCAACTCCCCTTACAAAGAATAATGTATATGTTCATAAATGTTTTGTCAACTCCTTCAGTACATGTGAAGTAATTATAACCTAACTACGCATAACAGATCCTAGCTAATAAAGGGCAAGGGGACTGGATGTTGTATAAATGAAGAGTGTGGACTCCATATGGGGGCAGATGGATGCATGGTGTCAAATTGGGGAAACAGAGATGAATCTTTGAAGACTTACTCTGAAGTATTATTGACACATTTAAACCAATAAATTACAGGTTTCATTCTGGGCTTTTCCTCAAGATGAGAAAAAGGTAAAAATTTATGCCAGAATCAGTCTGAAGTCAGAAGATGAATGGAGGAGAGGAGAGATTTTTTATGGTGAAAAACGGATTCAAGACATTAGACAAGTTGGTAAGAAAATCGATATAAAAATAAAGAATACCATGAAGTATTTCACTGAAATTCTCTGACCTTTCCATGCAATTGATTTAAAATTCATCCCCTGCTACTATTGCTGAATTGCTGATGTGGCATCGTTGAAAGCTAGTTCAAGCTTGTGGTGATGCATCATTGTTATTTCTTCACTCACGACTTACTTTCCCGGTTGTGCACTTATTATTTCCTTAACATAATAGTGTAGCAATGTTTACAGTAATAATGGGATTTAAAATTTTAAAAACAATTCCCACTCGGTTGTTCACATACATACTATGTATGTATATTTTTTCTGAAATAGCCCTACAATCACATAAATGGCTTTTAAGTTTTGGGATTCAAGGTGGCTGCTATTCCGTCTTTGCGTATTGCAGAGTTATCTTCTCTTGGGAGCAGGTATTGATTGTTACGTCATTGGTTTGTGAGAGAATATTACGTCGTTTTCTCAAAAATTGATGACGTTACTCTCACAAACAAGTGACGTAACAATCAATACCTGCTCCCAAGAGAAGATAACTCTGCAATACGCAAAGACGGAATAGGCTTTGGTTGGCTGATTGAAAATTGTAACTGCGTTTCATGTAGGTGGACTTGCACTATTTCTTGAAAGTGTATAATGCCAAAGGATAGTTTTGGAGACGATACGACAATCTGTTACCAAAACACCTTTTATAGGAATTATAGCATCTACCAACTTTATTATTTTATAGGATTTATGGTTTCGGCCATCATCAACAAGCAGATTTCCAAGGTGTCGGTGACATTTGAAAAGCAACAGATAACCTCATCCACATGTGCCATGTGTCCACAAGCAATATGGTGTCCACACATCATTGCTGTCATTCTCCACAGAATTCGACATACAGATACGGTCTGTATAAATTACAATGTATCCCAAATAATCATATGGCAGAGACGTCAGGCAGTTATGATACAAGTGATTTTGTATTGACACAATATCATTATCAGTAATCAACCGATTGTTATGCGAGTGGTTATATAGAACATTAACATTGCCTAACAGAATGTCTGCAAAAACAAAGGCAAAGAAGCCATTGCTACACAACCAGAAATTAGGATCACCAATTTATACTGTTGGATTAAAGAAATGTGTGAAAATATTTATCATTTGAATTCAATGATTGGAAACTTCTCTCATATTTACTCATTCACCCCTGAAGACACATTTGAACTCTTCCAATTCAAAGGATGGAATAGTTCATTATGGAATTTCAGGGATGAATGAGTTAAAGAGAACTTAACTTTGAAAAGCAAAAGAAAATAATTATTTAGCAATTTAACTCCACTCTCGTTACAAATGCAGATAATCTCTCACGAATTGACTAGCTTCTCACTCAGCATAATGATTACTTTTTGGTTGTTAGACCTAGTAATTAGAATTTCACAAATTAAAATGTGATATTTAATGCAGTCTAATCCTGTCATGACAGTAATATCTGTATTTAAGTCTGTGTTAACTTCCAGATTTCGGTTCATGCTCCTGTGACAGAAACTCTATCTACACTTACCCGAGACCAGCTACAGAAGCTACTACAGTATGCTATAAATGAGGACCCGGCAGGAATCCTCGGAAGGGTGTTTCAGCATATCGGTAAAAGATTTTAAAATCTTATCATGGAATTATTATTTGAGATCACACTTGACACCTTTTGAAGTAAAAAGCCTGTGTACACAAACAAGTCAACTAATTACAGACTTAGTTGTAATTTTTACAACAAAAATAAGAAATGCTTGAATATGCTTCTACAATCTCGGCTGTATGAATTGTTATTCTTTGATGTATTCCCCAATAGTTATCGCATATTTCAGTGAGTATCGGATCCACACTATCACAAGGAGGCAAATACACACATGGAGGCACTTCCTTAAATTACCTTGGCTGTTGACAGGCCATTAAACAAAATAAAACCAAACCAAAATAATCTTCTCAAATATAAACAACTAACCAATGATTCATACTGGCCATACGAGAGAACCTGTTATTATCATCTATATACTACTTTATACCACCTACCAGTAGCATGATAAGTTCATTATCGTTGGTTGTCAGTATGAGAAGAAGTTGAGAAGAACTTCAGAACGGATTTTCCCATTCCCCAGCACTAGGGAACGGATTTTCTCAAAGAAGAATCTCTGCTACGCGCCAGATGACATTCAAAATCGGAAATAATGTCCACACAAAAGTGATCTGCGTAAGAAAATAGTCTGTCTTAAACATATCAATATAAAGTTACAAAAAAATATTGTGAGAATAACAACACCATTTCAGGTGTGAATGTGAATATGGAAAAGCGAATGACAGTAGGACTGTTTTAAAAATATTTTTTCTGCATGGTTTTAAGGTTCATTGTATTCCTCCGCACAAAAATTCAATTTGTTTACGCTTGTCACAGGCGATCGTTGACCATTGAGCTTAGAAGTCATTTGGAACACTTGGTGTTTAGTTGACTTTCTTAAATAAATGGAGGAATATATAAGGTAGTAAGTAGTTTATAGATGATAAATAGTTTATCATACAGTATTTTCAGTGTTTGTCGCCTCTCGATTTTATCCACATGCTTGCGATGAGAAAATTGTTCTTACAACAATGCCTGAAAATACCGTGTGATAATCTATAATTATCCATAAGATAGTTGTAGTTAATACTGACCTGAAATACAGCATGCATCATATCTAGATTGAGCACATTGACAACCTAGACTTGACACTCTGTAAAAACTTGAAAGGTGTGTACAATTCTTCTAGCCCAACACCCAGGGCTAGTAGTACATTTTACGTCGGCGCTAGTGAAAATTTCCATAAAACAGGCTGGGCTTTTAAAAAAAATCAAAATGTGCTTCCAGGGTTGTATCCGAGATATGAAAATGGATACTTCACTGATACAATACTCGTGGTCTGAATTCCAAAGCTGCAGGTGCCATGTCAAAATAGAGGGGAAAACATCATTTCGTTTCTGTTTGATAGATGCCCTGAGAGATGCTACGTCAGATATGAACAGTCTACAAGGGGCCCCAGATCCAACGTTTGGGGTCAGTATAGATGACAAGTTAACGTGGAGCCTTTCCTTAGATTTGTTGAAGAAAAACCTGATGGAAGACCTACGACTTGGGTAAAGATATTTGTACCAAAATGACATTCAATCCCATATATCAAATCAAAAGAAAGCTATGAAAGAAATGTTGTTCAGATATGATATTATATGTAGACATTTTATAGTATTATATATGTGTGAAAGTAGAATAAAAATGTAGGTAAACCAACACAAGTATTAGGCATGGAGATCCAATGTCCTACAGGTAACATTCTGTTGTTTTAATGGTTTAGGAACATAGATGTATAGCGGAGTATTCAAACAGCACTCCATCCGGAAAAAAAGAAAAATTCTGCTGTTACAGAAATCTTGATGTTGATGCTCGATCACTTACCTGATATTAATATTACAGAAATAGGGAAATGGGACAATAACAAAATCCTTCCTTATTTGTTATCACTGTACATTTGCAAATCTGGAATAAATTTAGCTTACCTGGCCATGTGAGTTTATGCTGTGGCACAGCTTCAATCGTCTGTCCATGAACTTTTTCCTCTAAAAGCTTTTCACTCCGAGTTGCTGATTTGAATTTAATTTGGTCAGGAACATCCATGTACCAACAGATGGTTTGGTTACAGCCCCCAGAGGAGCGGGACCCAATAGAGAAAATAAAAACAAATCTTCTGTAACTTTGACCAGGAGAATCACTGATCCAGTGGGCCTCAATGTTATACAAATAAAGGATGTGGTCCCCTGGGGCAAGAGGGTTGGGGTCCAGTAAGTTAAATTTGATAATATATTAAAGAGACTTGATAAATGTGAAGGGATTGGAACCAAATTTTGTCTTAAACATAACTGGGCGGAAGGGACTCAATATTGTATAAATGAAGGGTGTGGTGCTTATAAGGGCAAGGGAATGGTGCCCCATAGAACAATTGTGGGTATTTAATTCTTTAAGAAAAAACTACTCCTTCATTATGGATAAAGAGACCTTAACCAAATTTAGTGTGAAGCATCACTGGGCCAAAGGGACTCACACCAAGGGTTTTGCTCCCCTGGAGCAGAGGAGTGTGGCCAAGAAGGGTAAATGGAAGTAAATCTTTAAAAGAATAGTTTACCTGTATACAACTGAAGGGATTTGAACCAAACTTAGCCAAGGTGACTACATTATTTGTGAAAACATGATTGGTGAAACTTTGAATATCCAGTTAGTTTTGTCCAGATTTAACAGTCTTTCTCAAGGAAGCTATAGAGTTCATGCCTGAACAAGTTAATATTAGTCTTAATTTTAAAGGAAAAAGTGTTGACACTGGTATTTACATCTTAAGGACAAATATAATATTTGTTTAAATTCATGTACTCTATATGTCTGCTAAGAAAAAGAAACCATGCAAAGCCTTGACAAAAATGAAAGATTATCTAAATTTATGTAAAATAAGTTAGTTATACAGATTTCAACTGGTTACCATGGCAATTGTAGTTAAAAGCCCAAATACGTATGTAAATATTTTCATAGCAGTGTCAAGGAAGTGTTAAATATTTGATAAACAGAGAATTGAACATTCAAGTACAGGTTTTTGATTTAATGGATTTGGGATCACTACATTATTTTGTAATTATAATGAATATGGTGATCAATTAAAAGCTCATTATAAAAAATACTGACCTTTTCTGTTTACAGATACAAGAGCTATCCTGACTCCTGTAACATTGTAGAAAAGATGAAATCCATATTCTTTGATCAGTACTTTCAACGGGTGATGGAACTGATGGAGAAGGAAGAGCCTGCTGCTGCAAGGGAAGTCCTTGTCACCATTGCTGAAAGTGTTCTGGATGGTAAGATTGCTCTCGTACAACAAACTTTTCTGTTTAAAAGGGAAATCCTGATCAATGAACCCACCAACTTGTGTTCAATTTAGGGTATTGGGAATTTTTAGCTGGCCCAAAGGGCCTAGTGAGCTTATGCCGTGGTAGGGCGTCTGTCATCTGTCGTCAATGTTTTACTTTAAACAACTTCTTCCGAATTAACAAGAGGCCTATGGTGATGATATTGGGCCAGTAGCATCCTGGGATCAAGGGCTACCAAGTTTGTTCAAATGAATGACCTTCACTCATATTCAAGATCAAAGGGGTCAAACATATTGACATCTTTAAACATATTCTTCTGAATAACCGAAATGTCCAGGGTGTTGATATTTGTCCAGTAGAAGGTTGGGATGAAGGGCTGCCAAGTTTGTTCAAATGAATGACTTTCACTAATATACAAGGTCACATGGGTAAAATATATTAAAAACTTTCTACAACTTCTTTTGAATATTAAACCAAATTGCATAGCATGGAGATATTTTGTCAGTAGCATTCTCAGATGAAGAGCTATCAAGTTTGTTCATATGGCAATCTAATTAAAATTACATCTTCGCATCGCTTCCATTTACTGATTTGTAGCTTTTAAAAATTCAAAAGTGGTGAAAAGAAGAAAAATAGTGTTCTCTGCATATTTTCTGAATTTGTCCATATATCGATGTGGATCCACTGGAACTATATTATCCTAGCAACCACAGCAACAGTAGCTACCATCGTAGCCACCTGCTTTGAATGGTTTTTTTCTTTGTATAGCATTTGAACATTATTTACGATGTAAATAGAAGTATTGACCTTCATTTTGACTGTGTATACATGAACGGTAGTATGAACGCAGTTGGCAATGTACATTTCCTTTATGGAACGCTAACTCGCACCATAGAATATGTTCATTACAAACTGTTCAATACGTCGTCAAAATGCAGGTCAATCCTTAAATATGTGTCTTGCAAAACAAAGGTGATTTGAAGTATATATAGCATGATATATATACTCAGCTCTCACTTCGTCATAATCATAACTTGATTTGTTTTGGAATGGCCTTTTTTATTGATTTTTTTACTGTAAAAATTAAAGCAGTCTTCTCCTTTTCAGTCATCAATAACCAGCGATCACCAAGTAACATGCTGAAGAGGATATTATGTGACTGTGAACGACTGTTCAGTTGCTTCATCGTGGCTTGTCCTGATGACATGAAGCATGAGATTGTTGCTAAAGCCAGCATACTGAATGCGTAAGGCATTTCAATGTCCAACTAGTCTCTTGCATTTGATGGTTTCATTAGCAATTTTCTCAGGTTTTAGACTTGTCCTGTTTAAAAAGTTATGTAACTATCAAAAATCAGGTTTTAAACATTGATCAAGGGGAACAGTGACAAAATTACATGAAGCTTCAAACAATGTAATGTCTTTTGCAAAATTGCTTGAAAAAAAATCTGCCTTATAAAAAAGGAGTGGTTTGAAATAAAGTTGAAGTTTTCTTAGAGATGGTAATTTATCCATTTGATTGAGTCATACTGATTTTACTACTGTGAATCTGTTAATATTCACGAATGTGCTTGGACCAAATAACCATTTAATTTGCACAATGAACAATATTTCACTAATTGATCTAATTTATCATCTATTGTAAAATTCAAATTGTAACAATTATCAATTTTAATTTGCACTGTGAATCCATACATCATAAGTTGTTCTGTTCTTGTCATGACTCTACCCACTTCATTTCTTAACAGATTTACCTGCTTATTGAATCCTGTTGCAAGTAATTGATTTTGATAAGCTGATATATTTCAGACAATATTTTCCCTTAGTAATATGGATTTTAAAGCTTGGGAGTGCTTGCAAAATTGAAACTCTGCAACATCCAAATTTCAAAGCAGAGCAGACTCCATACATATTACTACATATACATGTACAAGCACCTCAAAGCTAGGGAACTTGTAATTTTATGAATTTGCTTGCTTGTTTTTTTAAACAGGAGAGCTAGGCGATTAACATCACAAATAGAGTTTACCAAGCCTAGTTTGTGGGCAGACATGAGTTCTATCAAACTGCCATCGGAGAAACAGGATGGTGTGATAGGATTAGCTTTTGAAGGTTACCCATTCTATCAGGCAGTCTGTGCTAGTCTGATTCCCAGTCCATCACAATCCCTACAGGAACTGCTCTGCTGCAGATATTCCACCACCACCAGGTAATACTTCTACACATTTGATATGACAAGCATGGTGTTACCTCGTTAATCCTTGCACCCTCACTACCTTCTAATTTTAAATTAAAAACTAAATTGCCTTGTTAAACCACCATATCATTCTACAAATTATAGAATAGATGTGTGTATACCCCCTTTATGGGCCTTTATTTACTCTGCCACCCTTAGTTCAGTCTCTGTGATCAGTCAAAGCAATCGGTGAACCACAGTTATTGTTAATGTTGAAAGCTGAAATAACTTGTTTCATAATTGTTGTAAAATAAATAAAGTTTATATATTTATTGTCAACTTTGGTGAACAAAGGTGCTGGAAATTCTAAAATTCTGCCGATTTCTAGATGGTTTCATAACCCTTATGGTCTATAAAATTGCAACACTATGATAGTTATCAGAATGTAATTTGCCATGTTTTTGTTCACATTTTGGCTGGTAAGTTTAGTACATGATGAGCAAGTTGGTTTGGGGGTGAAGATGCCTGGAATACTGCAGCATTCTGTTTTATCAATAGCTAGTGAAAATCATCAAGGTATAGTATGTAGATTTATATGTAAAAACTAAATCAAGTATATGAGGAATGTTATGTTCTATATATGAGCATGAATCAATATCTATGGTTTTGTTAACAGTAGTTATGAGGAGCCCCTGCCTGTGATGCTGATCAGGTTGGACTGTTTTATGAGTCTGGAACCCACAGTATCTGGGGATAAAGTGCAGAAATTGGGGATCATGATCCTGAAAAAACTTCTTGTACTGTCTCTAAAAGTAAGTATGAAAACCAATACCACTGAACCAGTTGCTTAACAATTTTGCAGAAAGGTTCCTTAGTCAAAGACAAACCAAAATGTGAATTATATGAATCTAAACGGGGTGGGGGGGTAAAAAGGGTCAAATTGGCAAAAATTTCAACAATCTTCTTCTTCAGACCTAGATATGCTGGAGTCAAATACTCTTCATGGGTGGAAAGATCTTGAGGTGCTTTATCAAACTTGTGAATTTCATTACCCCAGGTCACCCATTCCCTCTTGTGGAGGGGTTAAAGTTTAATTAAGCTTTTATAGAGAACTTAACACTTTTGGGTATTATACCCAAAAGTTTGAATTATATTCCAATGAAAATATACCGTATATTTTCATTGGAATATAATTCAAACTTGTTATCATCATCTGGTTGCAATTTGATGGTATGAAAGTTAATACCCTGACACACCCTTGGGGTCTTAAGGGTAGGGCTCAAATGTTAGAATCAAATAATTTTCATGAAAGGAAAGGTCCTAAAAATATAAGGTGCTTTAATTTATATAGTTTTAGCCCGCCATCATCAGATGGTGGGCTATTTGAATTGCCTGTCGTCCGTCCTTTAAACAATTCTTGTTATTGCTCTTTCTGAGAAAGTGCTTGAGCGATATTTCTCAAATTTGATATGTAGGTTCCCCTTGGTCCCTAGTTGTAGAAGTTAAACTTTGAAACTGATCAGATAAACATAATGGCTGACAGACAGCCATCTAAGATTTTGACAGTGAATGGTATCACTATTTCTCAGGAAATACTTGAGGGATCTTTCTCAAATTTGACATGTAAGTTCCCCTTAGTCCCTAGTGTGCATGTTTACTTTAAAGACTAATCAGATAAACAAAATGGCTGACAGGTGGTCATCTTGGATTTTGGCAGTGAATAAATTTCTCAGGAAGTACTTGAAGGATCTTTCTGAATTATGATATGGAAGTTCCCCTTGGTCTGTAGTTGTGCATGTTTACTTTTGAGATTGATGGAATAAACAAAATGATTGACTGGTGGGCATCTTGGATTTTGACAGTTGAAGTTTGTTATTGTTATCTCTCAGAAAGAACTGGAGGAATCTTCTCTCAAATTTTATATGTAGGTTTCCCTTTGGTCCGTAGTTGTGCATGTTTACTTTTGAGACTGATCAGATAAACAAGATTGCTGCTGGAAGTACTTGCAATGATCAGATCTATTTCTTTCACAGTATGTAAATACTGTACTATGTGAGTCAACAAACTCATTTTCAAAGTTATCCTTTATAAGGCCAAAAAAAAAGATTACTTGGTTCTCAGGCCCGTGCGCATTGCCGATTTTATCGTGAAAGTAATAATAAAAAAAATCGTGTGAATGCGCCAGCCGGCAGCCGACATCTTTAAAAAAATCCGGAAAATTGGTCCGCATGTCGTTTTTAGGTCACCTGAGCTTTAGCTCAAGTGACCTATTGCTATCCGTTTTCGTCCGTCGTCGTCCGTCGTCCGTTAACATTTTACATTTCAAACTTAGAGTCAAGTTCTGCTGGGCCGATTGAACTGAAAGTTGGTAGGAATGATCGCCTCATGGTCCTGACAAAGTGTTGTTATTTTTCGGGTCGATCAGAAATCCAATATGGCCGCCACGGCCGCCATTTTGAAAACCTATTTCAAACTTAAAGTCAAGTTCTGCTGGACCGATTGAACTGAAAGTTGGTAGGAATGATCGCCTCATGGTCCTGACAAAGTGTTGTTATTTTTCGGGTCGATCAGAAATCCAATATGGCCGCCACGGCCGCCATTTTGAAAACCTATTTCAAACTTAAAGTCAAGTTCTGCTGGACCGATTGAACTGAAAGTTGGTAGGAATGATCGCCTCATGGTCCTGACAAAGTGTTGTTATTTTTCGGGTCAATCAGAAATACAATTTGGCTGCCATGGCCGCTATTTTGCTACTAAGTTCTAATAGGCCGATCTCACTTAAAATTGGTCTAGGAATGATCAGCTCATGGTCCTGACAAAGTTAAGTTAACATTATACTATTTTTTACTCAAATTGGTACATATTTCAACAACAAAAATAAATACTAGACTCAGGTGACCGTTAAGGCCCATGGGCCTCTTGTTACTCGTTAGTCACACAATTTTAAGTCCCGAAAACGTTTGAATAAAGTTAAGGATTGAGAAACAGGCAAGCGTTAAAATGGTTATGACTTATTAGTCTTGTGTACAAATGGGGCTCATTCCGGTACAAATTAGGAATGGGGGGGTTCGTGATTCTCGTCTGGAACATCGTGGGGGGATTTTCGGAGGCTTGCTCTATGACGGGTCTCTACACAACTATAAAAAGGCAAGGGAATGTCCACAACGAATGTTTTACAAACTACACAATAAAAAAATATCACCCTCGTCTCGTTTTTGCCATGTAAAATGGGGGGGGGGGGGGGGGGAAATCCCGCCCTGCCGCATCTATTTTGAAAAAAAATGGCCTGAGAACCAACTTATTAATTTTATTTGTCCTAAGCAGCAGTATGAAGTTTAGGTAAAAAGTTAACTCAAGGTGCATACACTGCTTTCATGATTCGATCAAACCAATGAGAGAAAAGATCAAACTGTCTTATAGAACTAATAAAGATGGTTCAATGGTGGGCGCTGAGATCCCTCTGGAATCTCTTGTTTGGTACATATCACAACAACAGATACTTAAAAAAAAAAATACATTTGGGTGACTGTCTAGGCCCATGAACCTGTTGTCACGTATAATGTTTATTCTGTACATTTCATAGAGAGTTATGTTTAATAGTTTAGAAACTAGAACAGTTTGTAAATGATGTAAAGCGCTTATAAGGACTTGAAAAGTATTTTGTCCAAAGATGTTTTCTTGCTCTTTGGTGCCAATCCAAAAATCCAACATAACCACTCTGGCCTTTCAGTTGCAGAGATTTTTTCACTGATTCTCAAAAAAAAGTTATTGTTATTGACTCTAAATCGATGTAACTCATGTGAGCTTTAAGACCTGTTAGGCCTCCTGTTTAGTATCTTTAATCATATTCCTTTCAATTCTTTTTTTTATATGAACATCAATAAATTATCCTTTTCATTATCCTGACATGACAGAAAAAATGATACTGCTGTATATAAATCTGAAACATAACTAATTTACTGTTTTGCCATGAACTTATAATTTTATTGATAAAGCATGTTTGATTTGTTTTCAGCTTTCAATTCTGGGGTCAAAAGAGTCTACAGTAGATCTAGAAGCTGTGGTGAAAGATGGTAGGTTCCTGTAACTGTTGCCTCGATTAAAGATCTACAGCATGATATTCATTAAATCCAGTTTCTGTATTCAATATCAATAGTGTGTTTTAATACATGTATGTGCATGATTTTGTCATATTTACTCTATTTGAATTCAGTAGTATTTCATGCAAAATTATAATGTTGGAATGTGTAAAGTACAAAATTGTTTATTTCTAGACATTTTCTTCAGGTTGGTTATTATGGATTATGAAAAGATTCTTGTAACACAACCAATGAGTGTTTTTATGGATATGCGCAGTGGGCCAGTTCTAAATAGAGATGAGGGGGCTCTTAAACTGGCACCTCTAAGACCAGTTATTAAACAAAGCGTAGCTGATGGAGTCATTTTGGTACATATATAACCACTAATTGTATTACAGCGTAGCCTAATTGACATCGATTTGTGGACAACTCTTACGCTTCACTGGTCATTTGTCTGATGAAGGTGATAGAGTACATACCATACTAGTCATCAAAACATCACATAAAAAGACTCATTTATCGAAATCAATGTTTGGCGTAATGTTGCTAAATATTCTGAGCATTTATTTGGGAGCATTTTGTCTGTGCCGTTGTACTTTTATGATTTGTATGTTCCAGATGGGCCAAGTGAAGACGGACCTACCAGAGCAAAGCGAAGGAAACCATCGGCTAGAAGGGGGAAAGCCAAGAAGAAGACTACTGCTGTACCACATAAAGCTGCTGGGACTAGTGCTACTACACGGGAGTGCTGTGATCAGATAGAGGGACTCACAAAGGTCAGTCAATTAAGGAAACTAAGGCCAAAATAAATTGATTACTTGGTTCTCAGGCCCGCGCATATTTCATTTTAGGGCACCGTTTTGCCAATTTTATCGTGCAAGTAATAATAACAAAAAATTGTGAATGCACCAGCCGCCATCTTTAAAAAAAATCCGGAAAATTGGTCCGCATGTCTTTTTTACTCGTTAGTCACCCAAGTCCCGAAAACGTTTGAATAAAGATAAAGATTGATATACAGGCAAGCGTTAAAATGATTATGACTTATTAGTCTTGTGTACAAATTGCACTCATTTAGGTACAAATAAGGAATGGGGGGGGTCGTGATTCTCGTCTGGAACATCGTGGGGGGGGTTTCGGAGGCTTGCTCTATGACGGGTCTCTACACAACTATAAAAAGAAAAGGTAATGCCCACTATGAACGTTTTACAAACTACACAATAAAATAAAATCGCCCTCATCTCGTTTTTACCATGTAAAATAGAGGGGAAAAAATACCGCCCTGCCGCATCTCTTTTGAAAATAATTGGCCTGAGAACCGAGTAATTAACTTTATTTGGCCGAAACAACTCTCAGTTTCAAGATACAATTTTTTTTTAAATCAAAGGTGAAAGCCTTAATACTTGAGGTATAATCATGAATACTTTCTTTTGTTCCAAATTTTCTAATTTTCAGAAGGTGGCATGCTGGTTTTGATAGTTAGACAATTTTGCCACCAAAGTGGTACTTTTTTCTGCTCAAATAACCGAAACAAAGCTGCCATGGAATATGGAATTATACCTGCTGATGTAACTTTTATATTCATATACTGCTTTATTAATGGGGAAATCAACTTGAGATTGGAACAGACAGACATTCATGTCTGCTGTATTGGGGGGGAAAAAGTCAAAATGTCACGAGGTGTGTTATTTGAATCTAGTATATCTCGTGTAAATTAAATTTTAAAGTGCCTCACTTGGTATGTACTGGTGCTCGGCACCCTCACTTGTATTATGGAAAATGCAAGTTCTGGTTATGAATAATTTGATTTCAAAATATTACTAAGACAGGTTATCATAGCTGTTGATATATTTACAAAAAAATCTTTCAATATATTTCTAGTTCAAACTTATATTAATGAGCTTACACTTGATTTTGATGACAGGGACAGATTTCCTACTGCCTGTTGTATGTGAGCTACACTGTGAGCAGGACACTAGATGAGCATCCTCTAGATAGTGACGAAGTCTTAACACTACTGGATGCAATCCTACGCGCTGTTGAACTGGGTAGATTCCGAAGTGTAGCTCCAAAATTTGAGATAACATCAAAAGACTACAGCTGGCTAGTGTTTTTGGAGAACAGGATTGAAGAAACTTACACGAAAGTTGCGCCAATATGGCTGGAGAGTGAAGGAAATGTTACAGACATGTACAAGTCGGCTCTGTATGAGAAGGGGCTACAGTTCTATGGAGACAATTTACCTGTTTCACTTATCAGTTTGTTGCTTGCTGTTGGAAAGAAGACAAAACTGATGATTAAATTGTGTACAGATACAATCTGTCACTCTTTACACCCTCTCAAGCTTCTGACCATTCCAGACAACAGCTATGGTAAGGGTTGCAAAATATTTCTCTACAAGCAACTCACTAGTATAGTGAATATAGTTATTGTACCCTTTACCTGTTGTCCATATTCACTGATGATAAACACTTAAGTAGACTGGTTCTAAAGTCACAATGTTTTCTTTTTAAGTTTTTAGCTCACCTGCCCGAAATTCCATATTTAGTCTGAAGCATCCTTGGGTGAAGGGGAACCAATTTTGTATAAACCATGGGTCTGGCCCCCCGAGGGGTCCGAGGGGTGGGGCCATATATGGGGAACATAGCAAATTCTTTAAAATCCTTCTTTCTTCTTCTGTAGGAATGAAAGGATTTGTTCCATATTTGGTCTGAAGCATTCTTGGGTGAAGGGGAAACAATTTTGTATAAACCGGGGGGTCTGGGGCCTGAGGGGCGGGGCCAAATAGGGGAAATATAGCAAATTCTTTAAAAACCTTCTTATTCTGTAGGAATGAAAAGATTTGTTCCTTATTTGGTCTGAAGCATTCTTGGGTGAAGGGGCCTGAGGGGTGGGGCCAAAAGGGGGCAATTGGGCTATACCCCTGAGGGGCGGGGGGAAAAGTTGGCAATATGGCTAGATTGCTACAAACGACTCCTTCTGTAGAACTATGCACTGGATATCAACCATATTTGACTGGAAGTATCCCTAGGTGTTGGGGATTAAAAATTGTACAAATGGTTGGGCGGAGGGGCAATTTGGCTATATTGCTATGAACGACTTCTTCAGTAGAATAATACCATGGACATTGATCATATTTGGTCAAAAGCATTCATGGGAGACAGGGATTTAATATTGTACAATTGGTGGGGCTGACCCCCCTGTGCTAAGGGGTGGGGCCAAAAAACGTTTATTACTTGTAAATGGTTGAGATCCCCACAATATAACCACATATACAATTGCTGAATATAAAGAGAAGCATTCACATTTGCTTCCAGGATGGCCCTAGGGTCTGGCCCAACCCTTTTGAGACATATGCATAGTCCCTGGGTCATAACTTTGAGATACGGTTGAGATCCCCACCCAAAACTATATATACAATTGTTGGGCATAACGAGACGAATGCATTCATGATATTAGAATTGACCCCAGGGTCTGCCCCACCCTTGCAGACTTAATCCCTGGGTCATAACTTTGAAACGGTTGAGATCCCCACTCCAAGACTATAAATACAAATGCTGGACATAAAGAGACGAATGCCGTCATGATATTAGAATTGATCCTGGGGTCTGGCCACAACCCTAGGGATCTAGTTTCTGAGTCGCAGCTTGGAAACAGTTGAAATCCCCACCCCATAACCATACATTAAATTGCTTGGCATGAAAAATCTAATACAGACATAATACAAGACTTGGCATTGGGGTCTGGCATATTCCCTTGGATCTCATTTGGAGAATATTTTGCCATGATTGCTTAGATATCCAGGTGAGCGATACAGGCCCTCTGGGCCTCTTGTTCACTAAAGGTTTCATTTATTTGTTCCATCATGTTGTAGTTACTGTAGTGATAGAGAAAACATCAGCAAGGTGTATGGTGGTATCAAGAGAACATATGTAGATGTACATAGTATTAAGATGAATAACTGCCAAGTAGGGCTGGCACGGGTAACCAAGTACCCGGTTGCAGTTCGGTTATCTGGTTAGCAATTCTACGTACCTGAAAACCGTCCCAAAATGTTGGTCAATATTTACTGATTTGCCCGGTCAGAAATGTCGCTCCTGACTGTAGTTTGAGAGACCTCAAAAACACTTGTGATCAGTATACTTGCTATACCATTGAGTGCATGTACAAAAAAACGCTGGTTTCGGTTCGGATAAGCAGACGGTTATCCGACTGGTATCATTTCTAACAGTTACAGCCCTACTGCCAAGCATTGAAATACTGTTGTACATTTTCTTTATATATACTTAAAAAAAAATCACTAAGGTAATTGAGCCCACCATTATCAGATGTAGGCCTTGTCAAGTCACCTTTCCTCTATTGTCTGTTGGTCTGTATATACTGTTTCTTCAAGATGGCTACCAGTTGGCTAGCTCTAGTTTGTTCTTACTATCAGATGTTATCAAATGAATCTTTCTCAAAGTAGTATTTCCTTGGTTCTGAGTTTTACGTAATTAGTTTTGGAACTGGTCACAAATATAAGATGGAAACCAGGTTACAATCTTGAAATTTGTTTTCAGAAAAGTACACTGCAGGTCATTCCAAAAATTCAGAAAAATGGGATATTCATGTCCCTAAGTTTTGCATATTTCATTATAGAGCTTGATTAGATGAAAAAGGTGGCTGTCAGAAACAAGAAATATATTTTGTACACATTACTATTCTAAACAATTGGTCAAAAGACCACATTATTTTGTTTAAGACGCAATATCAAGACAGCATTGTGAAGTCAAATTAACATAAAACCGATGGAGATCTTGCAATGGTGGGCATTATGATCTCTCTGTAATCCCTTGTGAATAGTCATTTTAGCTTGTATATTCTCATTATTCTTTCATTATTACAGGATACAGATCTGAGAATAACAAGGACAGCCTAGTGAAGAAGTGGACAAACCTGATCACTTTTGTGCTTAACTTCTGTACAACTAACGCCTCAGTAAAGCACAACATGATACTCACACGGGTAAGATACATGAGTGGGGTATAGGAGTTATGTATTGTGAATCAAGGCCATTAATTGCTATATGGTACAATAAAAACAGGTTCACAAAGGTTGAAATTAGATATAAACATTATTGCATGAATATGATAATAGTAACTAGAGTATGAGAGCAAGACCCATTGCAACTGAACTTGGATTATAAATGATTCATGGGTATTCCGTTTTTAGTTAGGTACATGTTTCACTTATATAAACCAAATATCATTGCAAAAAAAAAAAGTAAATATAGGTTTTTGATCAATGATACATTATAAGAAACTAGATAATATAACACTTGAGAATATTCACAACAATATTAAGTCTGTGTAACGGTGTCACTTCTCACTGAAATACATGTGTCCCCTATGTACTGAGTTAAGTGGCTACAGTTTGATATGATGTATAAGTGCCTCAGATTTTGATTGTGATAAGTGCCCTCTGCTTCGGTACTTCGTGTAATACAGTTGATGATAATATGCCATGTCTTGTGAATCTGCTTCCGTTGACACAAAATATCATCAAAAATCCATGGTGCAAAATTTGTTTCATTGATATTTTATTGCTGTTGTATTTTTCAGGGGCTGATTTCATAAGAGTTGATGCAAATTTGAATTAGAATTTCAGTACATGTGAATAATTTGTATAGATATTTTTGAAATTCGATTTGGTAATACAATGTAATATGAGGATTTGCAGTAGGAGGTTAAAAAGTTTCTAAGGTCAATATCAAGATCACTTACTAAAAATAGACCATGCGGGGGTACAGTCCTTATCTCGGAATCCAAACGACTTCACCTTATAGAAATTTAACATGGTGATACACTCTGATATTGGGTTTAAAAAGGTTCTATTAAAAGTTAAAGATCAATGTCACTGTTGCTAAATATAGACTATGGGAGGTATGGTCCTTATCTCAGAATCCAAAGGGGAAATCTTTTGGATATTTGACACAGTGATACACTGATATGTAGATGTGCAAAAGGGGTTTTGAAAGATTCAAAGGTCAAGATCAAGTCACTGTTATACTTAAAATAGACCATGGGAGGAACTGTCCTCATCTCTAAATTGTGTGTTTGTTATCCCAAAAAACACAGCAATGGTTTGATAGATTGTACAAGCCTGGTATGTAGAGCAAAGTTTTAATCATCTGTATCCTGTAATAAAGACAGTGATTAGTTTTGGTTTTTACATTAAGGTTTTCACATTTTCAGATTCTAAAACACCTTGTACAGGTTGATGACTGTGACTACATGATGGCTGCCTACAGTGTCCTACGGGGCTTCCAGTCCTCTCTAGTGGAAAAGGAACACATGGTCCTACTGGTGAAGGTCGTTCTCCAAGGTGTTGAGCACAGCGTGGGCGGGACCTGGACCAACTTCTACACAACCTCGCCAGGTACCTGGGACACCCTTACCAAGCTTGGCAAACAACTGGACATGGAGTTCCCCAGACTCATCCTACCTGTGTGGCTGGAGCTGTGTAAGTTTTACAACTCCTCTCAGCTTAAGGGCATCATTGAGGTGATGAAGGACTCCATCAAGAAGGAGGCAATGCTACCTGCTGAGATGACCAACATGCTTCTCAAGTACTTTGAATCAAAGTTTCGACATGATGAAGAATGCTGTGATTTGATGCACTTCTTCAAAATTACGGATAAAGGCTACCAACAGGCACTAAAAAAGATTGCTGCAAACTTTGAAAACTACACACCCAAGGCACTCCTCCTCATTGCAAAGAGACAACATGAGGAAACGCCTACCTCAAAAGTAACTGCTGACAATGTCTTGCAAAAAGATGTGTTCAATTTGATCAGGCTTGCACTCAGTCGTCTTCAGGTACTCAACAAAGACTATCCAACTCGGTACTCTTACCTTGATACGGGAACACTCAACTACCTCAAGTACTTCTTCGAGAAACTCTCGGAGAAAGACAGAGAAGAGGTAGCATCTGGTAAACAGTTTCAGAATTTCATGACACACTTGTCAGACAGCATGAAAGGAGATGCAGAAGTTCTCGTCACATTCCTTAGATCTCTTGAAAAAACTGAACACATGCTACCAAAAGCTAAGGAGAAGCTTGGCATCAAGCTTATCGAGAGCTTCCAGAGGCAATTTGACTACGAACTGAGGCACTGCAATCACACTTCCTACCACCGCGTTCTTGGAGAAATGACAAAGGCAAGACAAACATGTATTCAATTTGTAGGCAATGGTGCTATGCTATTTCGCACAGCTGTCACAAACTATGTCTCGCTAAAACACAAAGGCAAGAAGAAATTCATTAAGCTGATGGATGAATATTTCAAGGAGTTGAATGTGGATTGAATACTGTGCGAGTGTGTGTGTTGGAGGATAAGTGTTAGTATACCATCAGGAGAATGGACAATGATTGTTAAATTACTCAAGTGCCAAAAGTTGACAAGACATTTAACTTTCATGGTGTGTACATGCGCTACAAATTTAACTGAAAACTGGGATAAATGTTGAGCGGTGTTTTGTTACAAAAATTGATCATTTGAAAAAATCCAGGTTGTGAACTTTGGACCTTATTGTGTGATATCCAGAGTCACTTCACACAAAATTGATGTCTGTATTATATATGTGTGTATTATTGATGGATCTGCAGATGGGTAAAGTAAGACTGGATGTTTTATACCTTTTATTGTGAGAGGGACAGTCAACTAAATGCTGGGTAGAAAATGTTTAAAATGATAATAGAGGAACTACAAACAGCTTAGTTTTTGCCTGTATATGTAGGGGGTGAACTCATTTTACTGTCAAAGAATTGTGTAGACAAAACTCTGATATGCATTTTCGTATCAAACCATATTAACCCAGTATGCAAGATAGAAAAATCTGTTTAGTGGTATATCAAAGCAGGTACAAGAAAAAGCAATTGCCGGAGTAGTGAGTATGTACAAGAAATGTATCTTGGATGCACATGCATGGCTTTAAATATAATTAAAAGGAACAACACATCACATGAACAATGAAATATTCCCAGTCCCTATCACATTTCAGAATAGCAGCTTTCATAGAATTGAGTAGTTTTCTCTCCATGTTAATTAGAGACCTGTGTATTTTGTGGATGAGAATATCAATTATCAAATCTAATCATTGATTTTGTTAACACATTATTAAGTACTGTGCCACACAGATAAAAATTCACCCTTGCTTCTATTTTTTTCTTAGGTTCATTTCATTCTACTGACAATCTGTAATATAGGGCTTCTCTGGTAAGTGGTGGTTGGTCATTATGTTGTGTTAATTAGTTCAAAGGTACTACCAGATCTAGAGGGGCTATATGTTTGTACTCTCACCACCAGTCAGTCAATCTGTCTTGCCCAACAGCCTAATAGAATCTTGCATGGGTCAACTCCGTGGACAGGGATGTCTCAACCCGAGTGCAGGAGTTTGGCTGGCCAGCCAAACTCTTACACGAGGATTGAGATATCCCTGTCTATGGAACAGACCCATGTTTGATTATTTTTCTCATATACGTACAAATAAACAAATTCCAGCCGAAATAAACATCGATCTTGTTCTTCAAGCAAACCCCAAAGCCCTAGGGTGTAACCCTGTAAAGTATGTGAGAAATGCATATCTCATATACCAACACAATTACCAGATTTTGTTGCAAGTACCTCTTGTTGGTATGGCAGGTCAAGTGTCCAAGTACATGCAGAGTTATGGCCCTTTGTGATATGAGGTTGGTCCAGTGGTGAGAGACTGGATTGCTAGCAATACTTTTCCTTGTTTATCTGAAGCTATGTAAAATAGAGGGACCCACCACTTTTTATGTTCTTGTACCACCAAGATGAGGGAGACCTTAAGTGTTACGTTTGGGACACAAAAGATACATGGGAAGCACAATTTGGTACATTGTGGGAAATCGGTGCTTTAATTTCGGTAAGCGATATGTGGCGCAGTGGTAAAGCATTGAGGACTAGGATCAACCGACGGCAATGCTGTTTCCTTTAAGCAGGGCAGACTAATATGTTAGCGAAGAATCATTCGTATCATTCATTGTTGTAGTGTTACCCATGTCCGTCCCATCCTTTCCCGTCCAGAATCATTGTCAACTCTCTAGAAACTTCATTCCTTACAGATACTGATCAAACTTTATACAAAGTTAAAATATGAGAAGAACTGAAGGTCAAGGTCACCATTGTAGTAAATTTGTCAACAAATTACACTAATTCGTATAGAAACTGCATCATTCATGTTTTGTAGACATTTTTTAGTCAAAGGAAGTAGATCTAGAGGCCAGATGAGCTTAAATAGTCTCCATTGGTGTGTTCTGTGAAACTTTCTTGAAAACACTACTCCAGTGATTGATTATGGCTATTGAGCGTATTTAATTTTACAGTAGTTATTTCCACGTGATCTGTATCCTCTAAGTTGCTACCAAATCAAATTAATTATGATCTATTGGCTCACGTTATGGTATACAAATGTACCTACCATACTCAAAAATTATTTTCATTATCATTCATAGTTGGTCCATTGATTTATCTGATTTGTTACATGCAAGTCCATATCTGCCCTACTTAAGAAAACCTGCCTTGGGTAGGGGAAACTAGCTTCATGATAAAAGTTGGTGGTTAAAAATAATTATTTTTATTTTTTTGGTGAATCTCACATTTGGCACACATTGTATGTGGTATCCTGCTAGTGCCAGCACCTGTTTATGTGGAACAACCGGTTTCTCGGTTTTTAAAATTCAACAATTTTCTGGTATGTTTATGCAGGCCTTGCAAGACTCTACTGAAAGCAGCATCATGTTACTGCTGTAGGTCTGACCTTATTTCATAAACAAACAACTCGGGTTCAACTGGTTGGACCGTTTGGATCGGTATAAACGAAATCTAGTCTCTGTATGTGATACCCTCCTAGTGCTGCTAACTAGTGCTGGTCTCCAGGTTATATTATTGTTACATTTTATAGGATCCTCTCTTCATCAGCCATTATATGTTGTTAACATCTATTTTACTGAACTGCCCTATCAAAGGAAGTACTATTTTAGGAAAAATGCTTTAATACTATACTGTATTCATTTTGTTTGACATTTCAAATACTTTTCTTTCCACCCCAGTTTTTTGCAATACTTCATTTTAATAAAAACATTTTACTGCTGGTGAAGATTTCGAATTCCAATAATACATGGACTTGCATTATTTGATATAAAAGAAGTAAAAAGACTAGTTGTAGGATAAGGAACTGTTATCTAGTCTGAATTGTGATGTAGAATTATACTTGAGAATACACTTGGCTGGTAACATGATTCTTATGGTTACCATGCTGATGCCAACATTTTTTCAATAAAAGTTAATTGTTAATTGAGTGTATTTGTTATGTTGTTACCATCTCCAGATTTCAGAGGTTATGTGCTCTAGAAATATATCTTCTCTACAACCTTGGAATATGTCATGACAAAATCAAAAGACTTGCAGTTAATTATTTGAATGGTTCAAGACAGAAAACTGACCAATAGCACGGCCGATATATATAGTGGTCCATTGAAGATTCCAGAAGTGGAGGACTACACCCAAATACAAATTTGCCATTTTACCATTATGCTGTGGCATGATTCCTTATATCTTGTATCAGAGATTGCAGGTGTGCAGGGTTCCCTGACAGTTTCAAGACTTGTCAACTATCAAGGTAGTTTGTACATTGAGTGTGGAACCCTTAGCTTTCCAAAATCTGTTGTTGCCTCATCTTTGAAGATGTTGTTGGTTGTGAGTCGCTTAGGAGTGTCTTATGTTCTTGCAGTACCCTGTGGTAGTATACAGGGCATCTCCCACAAAAATACACGATGTGTTACATTTGGTCAAGCTGTATAACGCCTTACAGTAGAACCTCTTTAGTTCTAGGATTTTATGTAAGAACATATTTTCAGGTTAATAAAACAAAAGTCACAGGAGTTAATTAAGTTTCTTGAATGGAAGTGTCAGGTAGCTGAGTTGGAGTAATCAGCTCAAAAGACATTACCAATAGAATAACTACATTTTTAGGTCACCTGAGACAAAGTCTCAAGTGACCTATTGCGATCGCCTTTTGTCCGTCGTGCGTCCATAAACAATTTACATTTTCGACTTCTTCTCCAAAACTCCTGAACCAATTTCAATGAAATTTTGCAGGGACCTTCCATGGACAAAGGTCAACAAAAATAGTTGCCGGTTTAGTCGTAAGCCCACAGGGGCCTGAGGGGCGGGGCCAAAAAGGGTCAAATTGACTAAAATTTCAAAAATCTTCTTCTCCAAAACCCCTGAACCAATTTCAATGAAAATTTGCAGGGACCTTCCATGGACAAAGGTCAACAAAAA